AGCTGGGTCAGAGGCCGCTGGGCGGAAACTGCGACCTTCTGACCCGCCAGGCAGAGAGCGGTCATTCTGGCCAAAGCCCCTAACAGATTGACCGCCACGAAATAAATGTTGACACCCGACGACGGATCTTGAACGAACAAATGTATACCTCGCATAGCGTACCCGAACAGAAACGCGTGAAGGGCAAGAACCTGCATGCCATAGGTGCTGTTGAAAATGTCTACCAGACAAACAACAGCGGCATGTTTCTGACGAAGGAGACTAATGCGATGTTTGACAGAAGATACATCCGGGGTATTGGCGGGACCTTTGGTAGGCGGGTCGCTGGGAGGTGCCGAGCGGATATTGCTAGAGCCGTCAACCAAAAATAGCTTGTCTTCGCTCCCGCTGCATTTAGTAGCATCCACTAGAGGTCGCGGGGCCGCCAGTTGCTTGGCGTCCTCTGAGAGGGGCTCAATGACATCCGAGATAAAGAGCATGAATGCCAGCATGTGCCAGAACAGAAGGGCTCGGAAAATGGAGAAGAATATGGCAAAGGCGAGGATGGCAGCGACCATGCTGTCAAACTTCTGGAAACCCTGGAGCATTGCAATAATTTCCATCACAAAAGTGAATGCTGCAAAGACAGCACCACTGAGCCTCCTCTTGTAGACGCCCCCGAAGCTCTCGCATGCAGCCAGCATTCTTGCGACGCCGTCGCCCCTCAGAAAGTTGACGATGCCGATTACATTAAGGGGCACCAGCACGGACACCTGCGTGAGAGCGACTAACAGAAGACTTCCCTCTTCGCTGCGTGGCGCGCCGAAAACGCCGTACAGCGCGCCCGAGGAGAACACGACGTACCCAAGCGCCTGCGCCAGCGCCATCAGACTGGGGCCGCTGAGGAAGCGGTGTCGGGGGGGGCGCGCCCGCTGATCACGTTGGAGACGGGCAGCGCGCCCAGGATCACCGAGAGGACGGCCAGCGGCCTGTACAGCGGCCCGGGCATGACTGGTGCGACGCTGCTGTCGAGGCTGCCGCCGCCGATGCAGACGACCTGTCGGCTTTTCCGTGGTGTATTCACCAGAGGCTTCGCCGCCCCGTCGTGGCCCGTCTCGGCCTGGGCTTCCGCGCGCCTCGGTTGGGGGTCCGCTGCCCCGGCAGTCGTCGGAGGCTCGGGCAGTACTGGAGCCAGCGGGGCATACTCGGAGCGACCAGCGCCGCGGATCGTTACAAACCATTTCGCATCGCTGCCTGGTGTTGGCTTTTACTGCGATGTTGGGCTGTTGGCACGGGCCAGCTGCCCGCTGCCTGTGAAGACAGGAGCTCGCAGACTCAATGGCGCCCGACCGAACATCAGTGTAAACAGCATTGAGGGCCTCTTGCACACGGGGGGTCTGGGACAATGTTGGTTAAATTCGTCGGAGACGAACGATTGCTTGATGTGTTTACCTGCTGGTCACGACACGGTGGCGAAGCGAGGTCCTGGCCGGTTGTCAGAATGGATCGTCAGGCTTTCTAGTGGAGTTGGACTCAATAGTGTAAATATTCAAACACAGCGCTATGGGCTCTGTCTGTCCACGGCCAGTCGTTTGCAGTTGCAGCCACGTGACGCCAGACAGCAAATACGCTATGTCCGGGTAAAGGGGGGGGGGGGGGGAAGCTATCGACTATTGCCGAGCGTCATGCAGGCACGACATATCAATGACAATATAATTTCGGAAAATCCAATTCCCGTTTCCCGTGATTGCGTCCAGGCCCAGAGACCCAAGTTTGTACGCAATGGGTTTCCGTGAAGCTTCAACTGCGGTTAGGCGCCGCTGTTTTGGATATGATCCATGACGGCCACAACTGAGAGGAGGGACGCATGAGATGCTATACGCACAGCAGTGTAAGGTTCATGTCTCACGGCGTCATAGCCGCGCATTGCATTGTCCTACCGGGCTCTAAAACCGGCTTGAAGGTGGAGGTGGGTTTCGTCCCAGCTGAGACTAGTGCCTTGTTCTCTTTCGTGATGATGCAGTGGATGCATCCTGCTGACAGTTGATCACAAGCAGAGGATTTACAGATGGCAATATCGGGCTCAAGTCGAGTCCGGCTCATGGTATTTCTTAAGTATGTCCTTCGCGTCAGAGCTATTTTAGCTGACTTATCCTTCAGTGTGTAGAACAAAACATGAGCGCGATATGATGTTTGTTGAAAACGTTTTTAAAATCCTGAAATACGTTTTCCCACGCTTTTTTATTCATGTCCACCTCAAAAATGTGGCGTATCCAGAGAGCTTTTTTCACATTTGCAAGAATTTCATGAACACTGACACGATAATTCCTTCCATGGCACCCAGTTATGCAGTGTCGCCCATAGGTTCAGTTTCGCTTCCATTGATTGCTGCGCACTTCTCGAATTACGGCGAATTTGTTGAGAGAATGGTGCCATTTGCTGTTTGAACTCGTGTGGCGTAGTTGCATCCATCAGATGTGCCTGCAAATAGTTGTGTTTCCATGTGACCTGTGTTCCCTGTGATATATGATTTAGTTGATAAATGGCACGCAATATCCAGGAATATAGTTTTGAAAATTATGGTCAGGTCAGCTGAACAGGGAGCACGCTTAAGTTGTTTGATATGGGGGGGAGGGGGGCGGGGGACCTGAAGTGCCCTAATTAGATAGGGACTTCACCCATGACAGAATCTGGCACCAATGTACCATAATTTTTGAAAGACTCGCTGTTGTATTCAGATTTCATCTTCCCAGAATGTCTAGTTAAAAGGAATATCAACATTTAAAGATATTGACGCAAGCATCAGATATGATGAAACAAGCAAATTATAGCTATTGGTATGCTTGTTGGCTACATGGCTGCTCTATGCAGCACAAGTCTCGGTGTAATAAATATGCTCCTCAATGCGTCACTGTTTGACTACGTCATCGTGCCGTGCACAACGGTGATTGAGAGCCAATAGGCAGCGTTAGATCTGGAAATCGCGCTCATGAACGCCAGATTAGAGCGTCTGGCTCGACGATTGCATTTTCTTGACCTTGATCGTCGCATGGCTTATGGAATGGCAGGATTTGCAGGACGTTATGACGTCATGAATGCCAAGGTAACTTTGAAAAACTCTCCCCGAAATACTCTCCCTATTTTCGCGGGCGTGCAGCTCAGAAACTAGAGGGGCTTGGGTCTCAAGAAGGACAGGATTTTGAAAAGCACCGAAAGGTCTTCAAGATCACTAACTCAGTTCAAAACCCCTATATAAATGTGGAAGACTTTCTTTAAATGATTGTGCCTAACTGTAGATGGTCCAGTTATTTGGCTGTGGTTGTTTACTCTTGAATTTACCATATGCCATGATTATCTGCTTGTGCAGTAGCATGTATTATCGCCAGTTATACCCGCTGAAATCCCTGCGGATTTCTTAAAGGGAATGCTCCACATCTGAAGACATTGAGATAAACACCAACCACACTCGAAGATATTGAGATAAGTATCAGATATAATGGGGAAAAGCTTACTTATAACTATCGATAAGCTTTTACGGTTCCAAAACGACCCTAAGTAGCACAATTTCATGCAAAATTTCGTGCGACCCGCAAAACAAACTTGCTTGTGGGGCGAATGAACTGCCAGTCACCGGGGCTTTTCACCCCACTTGCAAAAACAATGTACTTGTGCGTGCGAAGAAACCACCTGTGTTCCTAAAGGGAAACAACGGGTTGCTTTTAACTACGCAATGCAGTTTTCACAATTCCCGCACCACTCAACCTTTGAGTTTGCTTTTTGGTCGCGGCCATTGTCCACTCCTTAACCGCTAGTCTACCTCGCAGTGGCCACATGTCCGGCGCTCTCCCGGCGCAGCCGCAGGCACGGCGGGACTGCCCGATCATTGCCAGTTCCGTTGCTGAACGATCAAAACATCTAGAGCACGAATATTATCATCCATGTAAGCTGATAGCGATACACGTACCAATGGCTCACCTCACGAAATACGCGGCTTCCTCCGCGCTTTGCTCAGGCTAGTTTCAATAGCTTCCAGCAGTTGTCTGGTTTCTGTAACATTGGACAATTGACCAGCACCAGGTACCGGCCAGGACAGCATCAAGTATTCTTCTCACTGATCAGTGCTGACAGAGAAGGATGCGTGCATTTGTGTTGAACCTGTACTTATATTTCAACTTACATGTCGCACGGGGAATCAGCTCTGGACCTGATCCCTTTTCAGGGGTTGGTTGAACAGTGGTCAGTAAAGCTCTTGAATGATTTTAGCAGCGAGATGGTTCAATATGTACTCAAGGAAAGACAGGACAATAGTATAACATCGGTGTTCAGTTATTTTGGCAAGAATGATTGCAAGTGGTTATAATAAGTGTTTATCATTCCAAGTTGTCCAAATCGAGAATTCACGGAGCCCTGCTATATCACACTCCACGTTGGCAGCCACAGATTGCTACTTTCCCTCCGCATATTTCTAGATGTGTTGGTGAAGAAAGCTGCGGTGGTTCTTAACACTTGATCACAGACGTTTGTATCTGTACTCTTTGATGAAACACATCTTTTTTCGTTTCAGAATCACTCAATCGCCAGTCGCTTCGTCAATGCTCGTAACCATGCTCGAACGCCCTCCCGTTTCAACCACGGACGCCAGTTTTTTTTCGCGAGCATCGTTGAATTCCAAGCAATCACACACACACACAGCCGACCACCACGAGTACCAGCCGCCACTCCCGAAGGCACCATCCTTCCTGTCAAGCCAGCCTTATGGCAGGTGGCATAAGGCATGGCTTATACTGGTCTTCTACTGGTCTTATACTGGTCAAGACCTATGCATAAGGCATATACTGCATGGCAGAGCACATCGTCCGCAGGTGCCCACACGTGACACGCGGCGGTTTGGCTCCGGCGGAGCTTGCGCGTCGTTGTGGATCCGTAGATCGCGAGGAGCGCACACGCTGGATGCACGTGGCCCGCGATTCGCGTAAACCTGCTCGATGCTGGCGCTCACGTGGGAGATGGTGCTGCCATCTGTCAGGCTAGTCATCTGCCAGATTGTCACGGGTGGCCAGCGTGCTTTTGTTCAGTTGGTGAGCAACATCACATGCGATTCAACGTCGAAATGATGTCAGTTCGCCTCAGTTTGCTTGTACGTGGGCATGGTGAAGATGGGGTTGTCGGCGGCATATCGCGGGTCGGAGGAATCGTCACGTGTGAAGCGGTTGATCCAGTTGAAGAGCTTGTAAGCGAGGGGGTTCACCAGCGATTCGCTCACCTCCCGTCGATTGCATCCTGAGGATTGATGGTGAGTTAGATACAGAAGTCAGACATTTGTGCTAAAAACGGTGAAGATGTGCAAGTCGAGTTATCAGAGAAGTGCAAGCTTTGATGCCATGGACAGGTTCTTTGTCGTTTCTGTGTGTTTAACCGGGCATTCAAACCGTCTGGTCCAGAGCAAATGCTATTGTTGTTCCACTCGTTTTAGCAGTAGACCTCTATAGACCGCTGGCTCTTCGCAAGCTTCCTATGCCTGCGTTGTGGTCTGAATGATGCGTTGCAATGTGGTTTGAACTTTGATCCTCAGAAACTTAAAAAATGGAGCCAGCTCTGTCAAAAGCCGATCGCAAACAAATTGGACAAACAACTTCAGGTGTATCGCAGTCTACCATACAGACCTGTTAGCAGGCTTACGATGGATCCGATGATGACGCACATGAGGCAGCCGATCATGTTGTACAACTGGTACGAGATGCCGTAAACGTATTGGTGGAGAAAGCTGAAATAAAACGATGGTCTGAAAGATGCGCGTCTTTTACGCTTTGGCGCCGTTGTATCTTCCTCGTATATATATATATATATATATATATATATATATATATATATATATAGAAAATACACGCATATATATATACACTTACATACAAATAAGATATAAATCATATTTATATATTAGTTATATATATATATATATATATTATCATTTGTATTACTTGAAAAACTAGCTAACTTTTCAAGGGCATGCGTTCTCCATTCGCAAAGCAATGCAACACGGTCGGACAGAAAACATTCGAATGTAGTAAAATTCGAGGCATGCTCTACGATATATAATGGTTGGGAGCCATCAGTTAACAGATTATGCATCCACACATCAGATCAAATTACAAAACACATAGATTCACACACACGCACACACACACACACACACACACACACACACACACACACACACAACACACACACACACACACACACACAACACACACACACACCACACACACACACACACACACACACACACACACACACACACACACAACACACACACACACACACACACACACACACAAACACACTGCTGGCGTGCTGGACCAGCTGGAGCAATATTTTAGAGCACGTCGTACAAACGACCAGATAACGGCTGTGCGGTAACGCTCTGGGCGTTCACTTGGCGCATTCATACATTTGCCAGCGTCAATGGATTTACCGTGCACTCCGATGACAAAAGAACTAACGGCATGGATATGTGTTCACCCAAACAGCAATCAACCCATACTCTCAAGCCGCCGGGAATCTGTGTCAGCACCATACCTTTCATCCTCCTCCACTGCTGGCACTGGACTGGTGTCGATTGGTAGCGGCGTGGTGGACGAGACAAGCGACGTCATGTTGCCGGTGCAGCCGGCGATGGAGGTGGGCAGCGGCTCGGGTCGCTTTCCCGAGCCGTAGGCACCGAACACCGCCCACGTGCTGATGGCGCCAGCGGTCAGCATACCGACCACCGCGCCCTGCCGGAACGACACGGTGCTAGGTCAGCCGAGCCCCAGTCAGTCGTGCGCTCGACCGTCCAGGTCGTCGCATGCTGTGCATGTGAATGGCTCGTTTGCCATCAAAGGGGCAGAGTTTAGCTAGGGGTTGGTGGAACTCATAAGTGCAGATGCGGTTGTTCCCGGGTCCTGGGTCTGGTTGCCATCAGTGAATTAAAAAAAAGACGCATGCGATCCTAAGACGTTCCATAAGGGAACGTACAGTACTAGCAGAACACACGTTAAGACATTAGGTCAGGGACATGGTTGCCTACCTTGCCATTGGAAAACGGCACGAATATGCCCAGACAGAAGACGCCCAGAACTGGACCGCTGAGGGCTCCATTAATGGCCAGTGACGCCTGGAGCACTCCTCCTAGTTGGCTGACCATGAAGGCCAGGCCAACAGCCAGACAGCCGTAAAGGAAACCTGCAGCAGAAAACATTGTACTATGCGCTCAAAGCAGCAATAAGGCAAAGATGGCCGGTTTTGTGCTGGCTTTGTCTTGCAGTTCGGCATTGCGGACGCAGTTTCATTCCCGTTCTTTCAAACGTCTTCCAAAAGTTTGTCGTTGTGTAGAGGCTATTGTGACCGTATTTGTGACAGCGCAAGTTGGCATCAGATAAATTGGTCACGAATGATCATGCGGGGCAGTGCTTGCGAAGTAATGATCACCGCCATCATGATCCTGATGACGATTAAGTAGTACCACAAAGGTGCTGTTGTTTGGCTGAACTGCCCACGGACGTGTGAAACAACGTCCCTTGATTTGACATATCCGCGCGATGCTTCGCAGGCAGTAAATAGGCTCTTACTGAGGAGGCGTGTTGTCCACGACCGCCTGACTTCCGACATGTCTTTGAAGAAGCTGATTTTGACGAGGAAGTCTTGCCAGGTGATGGCTGCTAGCGAGTTGAGGCCGGAGGAAATGGTGCTGAGCGCTCCAGACATGATACAGGCCACAAAGAGGCCCGGCAGGCCCGTGATGTAGGACATCTGGTCCAGCACGAAGTAGGGCACCAGCTGGAACATAAAGAATCATGTGGCAGTTGAACCTTACTGCGAGAAGCGTGGGGTTCTATTGTCAGCAGTGGTTGGTATCAGACTTTATCAAGAGAACTGAAGTGCGAATTGTCCTGCGCCATTGCATACTTTCTCCTAAAAAACAAACGTACACACGTGTTGTTTTGCTCAGGCATACATTGTCATGCTTTTCATTTTGCGCGCCACCCGTCCAAGATCGGTGGGGCTTCCTGGCGGAGCGTGGGACAGCGGGCAAGCCCCCATGGTCTGGACCCCCCCCCCCTGCCGAACAGAGCCATTAGGCCAAGAGATGGAGGCGGCTCGGCCCGATGCTCCAGCCGATCGGCCCGCAACAACAGAGCGGCGCCAGCTGTTGGTCGATTCCTCGAGGAAAACCGCGGACGTCGCCCTGCCAGGCGGCGTAAGACGCCGTTTCCCCCCAGAACGGACATGATAGCCCCGTCTTCCAAAATGAACCACCACGTCAAGACCAATGGGCGCGAAACCCAGATGACTGAGGGAACAACGTGCGCGCAGGGATGTTTGACATTTTCTGAACATGTTTGCCGCCACGCCCCAAAAACCCCGCCGCGCCGGCGCCCCACCCCAGCTGGCATCAGAATCGCCATGCCACGTGAGAATTGGACTAGAAGGGAACATACAGGGCTCACCCGAAGCAAGGCACGAAGGCAGCGGGCGGGCCTTGCACCGTCGCTGGCGACGCCATGCCAGAGATCTGGCCCAGGGGTACGTTGGTGGCAGAGCCGTGGAAGAAGCGTGACCGGCCAGGCAACACGTTGGACGGAGGAGGCGTCGCGTCAAAACTATGAGACCATGCAAGAAGACGAGTGCGGGCCGACCCAGTTAGCAAAAGTCGGTTAGTAAAGTATGGTGCAATAGGCGCTGCAGGGCAGTCAGTGCCAAGGAGTCTGTCAGGCACCCACAGCCGTACCACGAGGACGAGACGACCGCGACTCCCATCACCTGGCAGCGACATCAGGACCTGCGGAGGACGGAACACCGACGACGACGCGCACGATGTCAGCGCGCGGCCTGTTGTTCCCAGCCCAACCGAGCCTTGCAGGACCGTCCGCTGCAAACTAGTCCCTGAACCCATTCCCAACGGGCGGGCGCGGTCCACGGCCGCCTGTTCCCTGCCGTATAGTTGCGAAAGGGGAGAGGGGAGGGTTGAGTGCCACTAGGCTCGGTGTTGCGTCCGCGTGAAGCGATAAACTGGTATTTGAATATGTGCGAGATATTTTTTGTTGTAAGTACAGGTGATGTTTTGTATTTTAACGGTTTAACGTACAAGCGATGGTAAAGGTGATTTGGCCAGACGACGGAACAACTCTCGTGCCCGGCGTGAGTGGACATGCATCCCGAAGCGATGACCGCGCTGCCTCGGCGTGCCGGCTCGCTTGTCAGCCTGGCCGAGGCTATCTTGTTTTCGCCGCTGGAGGCGGCCACGGGAGCCGCAGCGGCTCGTCATGGCCGTCGCCGGGCCCGCGTCCTCGGCCTGCCGCGCGTACCCACGTCGGCGCATCCGTGAGAGGTCTCCTGCCTTCGTCGCCGGTCCGCGTCTCGGCCTGCCGCGGCGTACAGGCCACGTCGGCGCATCCATGAAGGTCTCCTGTCGTCGCCGGTCCCGCGTCGCGGCCTGCCGCGGCGTACAGGCCACGTCGGCGCATCCGTGAAGGTCTCCTGCCGTCGCCGGTCCCGCGTCTCTCGGCCTGCCGCGGCGTACAGGCCACGTCGGCGCATCCATGAAGGCCTCCTGTCGTCGCCGGTCCCGCGTCTCGGCCTGCCGCGGCGTACAGGCCACGTCGGCGCATCCGTGAAGGCCTCCTGTCGTCGCCGGTCCCGCGTCTCGGCCTGCCGCGGCGTACAGGCCACGTCGGCGCATCCATGAAGGCCTCCTGCCGTCGCCGGTCCCGCGTCTCGGCCTGCCGCGGCGTACAGGCCACGCCGGCGCATCCATGAAGGTCTCCTGCCGTCGCCGGTCCCGCGTCTCGGCCTGCCGCGGCGTACAGGCCACGTCGGCGCATCCATGAAGGTCTCCTGCCGTCGCCGGTCCCGCGTCAAGGCCACGTCGGACGCATCAGTGAAGGCATCCTTGGCTTGTGGCGGTACGCGGTAATCTGTTTGGCTAGTGACGGTTCACCTTTCTTGTTCATAGTTTTCCCGACAGCTAGGGTTCGGCCCACCATCACCGAGCCCCGTCCAGGCGCACGCGCGATCTCCCGGACGCCACGCTGTCTTCTTCCCCATTCGTTGCTGATTGCTTCGCCTTGGTCGTATAACTGGTGGTATAGTGGGCGTACTTACACGTTCGGCTCCTTTTCCGCTTAGGCCGTCGTTCCCTTCCTCTCTTCCTTTGTTTTTGTGAGAGACGCTGATCTCTTGCCAAGCTCCGTGCAGCGCGCACGCAGGTATTTCATCCTGCGCGTGCTGTCCCCTTCCTTTGCTTGTTCATTCGTCCGTCCCGATCAACAGAATTTGCATGATATCCGTGTGCGTGTGATCTGTGTATTATTTGATCGTTGCTAATTTCGTTCCTTAATTCGGTGCAGTCTAGCTCGGCCCAGCGAATGCGCACGGATTCCTTCAACGAGCACGTCTTCTCCCCTTTCCCTACTTTTCTTAGTATTGCTTGGCCCAGATCGATTTACTGACCGATCTGCGCACGATGTCGGTTGGCAAGGGCCTCTCTCGCTCCGGAGGGATCCGCTACGGACACTGGAGGCCTGGTGCAGGGGGAGTACGGCGTGGAGCTTCCCGAAGCACACGGGGTCTCCGGGCCTGTAGCCAGCGGTCGGAGGAGCATCGCCTGCCGTGAATGCCGAGGCATTGCGGCGAGATGCACCGAGCCGCTACGTCTGGAGAGACCGTCCGCGACTCCGCGAGACCAGGGAGGGTCTCTCGCGAGGCGCCAGCCGGGGTACCGCTCCAGAGGGAGACGCAGACGCCATCAGTTGGCAGGCATCGGCAAACGCGGCAGGGGACAGCACTCAACAATGGCCAAGGGCGACGCGGACACCCGCGAGCCGCCGATAGAGGACAGCATATTACAGTGTGGCCGGAGGAGGGAGTCCAGCGTGACCCGGATGCGCGGTTTCGCTCCTTTTTGGCTGGGAGACGGTGGACCCGCTTTTTCACTCTCACTTGACCTTAGGCGTGACGGCATGAAAAGGCATATCTCAGAGTATGACTAAGGACCAGTTAGAACCCCCCCCCCCCCCCGGGATGCCGGATTGTGCACGGCGGTAATTGGGTCTATCCGTTGGTGTGCAACGCCTTTGGAGAGAACAGAACACCGCCTTTTATTCTCCCGACGTGGTGTACGCCAGGCCTTATGAGCTCTAGATAGCGGGATGTCCTGGACAGATAGAGATCCTGCCATCGACGTTTAAAGAGAGGGCGACAAGGCACCGGGTCGCCGCACTGGCCGTTCAGGCCGAGTCTCCAGAGCGCGCCGGCCGTGGGCACCGTAAGGCGTGAACGCAGGTCACGCCGGGCGCTCGCTGTCCGCCCAGCTGCTCCGCCGTCCCATCAGGCGCACTGTCTACCTCCAGGCCTTTAAGGGACGTGCCGTGGAGCGGTGCCATGCATAGCTCACTCTGGCAGGCGGGAGGCGAGGCACCGGCGGCGGCTTCTCCGTGCTGGACGAGGCGTTGTCTACGGCTGGTGCGCGGCAGCGGAAAGCTACGAGAGCTGGGCATGGCCGAAGGAGTGGTGGGCCGCCCACCGTGGACGAGATTTGGGGGGAGCGTAGTCCGAATGGGGGAGCCATCAACATGGAGGTCGATGGCTTCTTGGTGGTGATGATGGATTCTTGATTCATCTTGATGATGGATTCTTGGAGTGAGTGTGGTGGGGTGTCGAATGCATAGAATCTGTGTGGATTAGTTACGGCCGAGGGGGGCTCCCAGGATTGCTATCCAGCGCGCACTTACCGATGTGAGTCGCCGGTTGCGTGGGGCCCCGCTGATTCGGTCGTATTATCAATGCATTTAATTTCGTTTTTGCTCCATTTATATATTGCCATCAGCTAAAAGGCGTAGGTGAGATACCGTGGTTAAGAACGTACAGCCCTGTACGGGGAGGCAGCCGCTTATGGCACCTGACCAGACCTATCATCCCGCCAATGCCCCGGTCACCCGCTTCATTCCAGCTCTGTGGCTCACATGATTGTGGGTTAGACTCAGGTGTATCGGAGTCACAACATGCCAAGTCGTGCAAAAACATTATCTGGCTCGTATGCTGACCAATGGGATCCTCAGCAAAGATTTGCCCTTGTGGGGAGGCGTGACAACAGCAGGCGACTGCGCACAAACATCCAGTGGCGGCCTGGCAACGGCATAGAGCACGCACCCCATCCCAGGAACCCCCGACAATTGCAGTTAACTGCAAAGACAATGTCAAATCGGTTGGAAAAATACCCTTCATTTGCTTTGGCTGTAACGTTTCGTTAGCGTGCTATGCAGAATGTCCATAATACTTGAAATCAATATTCAGATTATGCATGGTCTTCCTCACGACTGAGCCATTGCGATGAAGTGTGCTGATGCGTGGTGCATGTTGAAATGCGCTTTAATCGTCTGTGATTGTGTTTCTATAAGGCGGCGTTTTTGCAACGCTTAAAACTTGGGAAAGCGCGTGACGAAAAATAGTAACGAAAGTGAGCAATAAAATGGGACACCTTTGAAATCAGCGTCGTCGCCTGCCAGGTTTCGACTGAAGTTGCAACTCACGCCACAAGTCTAGTGTGGAAGGTCAAGTGGGTTTGACGCATGCCATGAAGAAAGAGCGAAAGAGCGATTTCGTGCTTTCATCGTTCTTCGGAACGAGAAGACAATTAGGATTTCAACTGGCAGTTTTACCTTACAAATCCAGAGGTAAAGATATTCCAAGCCTGCGTTTTGCCTTCAGTCATAACCCCACGGACCAATACGCTGTGCCATGGTGTTGGCACTATCAGATGGCACTGGCTTTCTCTTGGGTCCGTCGTGATGCCAAAATGCTGCAGAAGTAGTACAGACTGAAGAGAAAACCCTTGTTCAAAAACCTGATAAATGGGGGGGGGGGGGGGGGGGAAGGGGAGACAGGGAAGGAGAGGGTGAGCTGTGCAGTGTTCTACTTAATGAATGCAAACCCGATTTTTTTGTTCGGTCCAATCCCCTTGAGTTCATCTAAACACTTTGACCTGCTGATAAAGTATCCATGATCTGATCAACAATCTGCAATTCATAGCGTGTGGTGGTTGCGATTCAAACTGAGTGGATCCGACTGCGAGTTACATGCAATCCTGAGCTGCGCATTCAAATGTATCAGAAGGTGCTGTTGGAGACACTGTACCGCACGCACCTGATCCTTCTTCTCAATGAGGCCCATTTTGAGCGGGTCGCAATCGGCGTACGTGGCGAAGATGGCCAGGCCGGTCATGCACCCCAGCGTCTTGTACAAAATAGTGGCCGGTGCATTTAGAAGGCACGCCCTGCAACAGATGATTGAACATCATGCAAAGAGATTTGAGTGACTTGAGGTGCAAGCGCCGGGCAAGACTTTTCGTTCATTGCATTATTTATTCCGTTAGTGATACGAGTTGGCATTATTAAAACTCAGAAGTAATTGTTAACAACTTTACTGTTTTCTGCCTTTTTTCTAAGAACAGCAACATCGCAGTCCCACTCCGCTGTCTTACCGAACTATCCAGTGCAGTGAAGCACTAAACATGTTGTACCGACTGGAAACCTTATATGGCAAAACTTTCGCAGACAGTTGCACCAGGTGTCCAAGTCCGGCAGATATTGACTCACACTTTGGCGGCCCTGAGGGTAGGCAGACTCAGGTAGCGCTGGATGGAGCTCTGATTTACGCCGAACACGGTCGTCCAAAGAAACAGAGTGCCGAAGAACAGGTTCCAGAAGTTGTGCCTGAAAGTGGTGCAGCGGATGTCCCAGTACTCGCAAAGGTGATGACAACCGCCAACCATTTCGAGTGCTCGTCCACTGCGTATTCCTGCAGTTATCTGAAGCTTTCTAGTATAGATGGATGGAGAGGCACAAACTGTCCTATGATTCACCCTGGACGGAGGGGGGGGGGGGGGGGGACACAACACTGATACATGGTGGCTAAGCGTTGGCCGTCACACAGTTCTCATAGCTTTGCCGGTTGTAGACCTCTTTCCTCCCCTCGTCGGATAAGCGTGAAAAGTTACATGCCGATATCATTTTAACCAGCTGGGTACTATGGCAACGACACTGGTGCGTGAGCCTCATGAGGCGTACCTTTATAGTGTTCTTCATCATACAATCATTACCTTTGCCAAGGGTTGAGGGTAAAGTCAAAGAATGTCATTCTCTGGTGTTCTGCGTTGATGTAAAAGATATTGGTGAAGCCTCCCACGTTGATGGCGCCCTGGACGACGATGGCCACCATTCCAGCGGCCATGACGATAGCTTGCAGAACGTCAGCCCAGACCACGGCTTTCAGACCTCCCTGAGAACCAGATGCCAGGCCATGAGGTAGTTGGGTAGTTTGGACAGCTTAAGTTTAAAAGAGCTGCAAAGGAGGTGCAAAAGGTGCTCAATTCGTTGTGGCTTTAAAAAAAAGACGCCAAAACGGAAAGGCATCCCAATATCAGCTCGGGCGTAGTTACGTCGATGAAAGATGGGTACAAGTTGGAAAATCTGGAAAGGGGTATCAGATTATTATTAAAACGGCGCCAGGCACTAACGTAAAACAAAAACGCGCGCCTTCGGTGCCAACATAAGCAACGCAAAACGAATGGAACTTCAGTATAAAAAGGCAATAGAGTCAAATGGGACTAGTGGCTATTCGGTCGTGGCGAACTGGTGTAAACATATATCAGATAATTATCCCAACGGTGACCAATGCTTGTGTTAAAGCCAAAATGTTGTGCACCTTCGGATTGTCAAAAACTGTAGCAGGTTCCTAACTGCCACCAGGCATGCGAGGTAATTTTTCACAAACACGCAGTTCCTTTTCAAAGAATTGAGACCAATGTGCCCATCAAAATATAGTGGTCAAGACCGAGGCGTTCTTGAATTGGCGGGAGGGGGGGGGGGAGGTAAATGGGCCCTTTTGTGATGCGCTGGGTCCCAATGGCCGATTACCCCGGGGGCCTGGAAATCCTCCACACTTTCCGGGGAGTAACCTCCAGCCATGATATGTGGGCTGTTTTGAAAACACCAAGTACATGTTATGTACAAGCCTGGGGCCCATCTGAAATACCAAAAATAGACATTGCTAGTTTTCATTGTATGTGCATTTATGTATTGCTATTTACTTCATGGTGAAACCTTTTTTGTTTTGAAGTAGCAACACATTTTATGGCTTCCAAAACCGTATATCCGAGTCCGAGCACGGGGATTTTCAGAGGTCGACCACCGAAAGCCTGCAGTGAGTTGATAGTGTATAGGAGAACCCAAACAGCGCAGCCCGCGCCGCCGAGCAGCTACCGGACGGCGCAGAGCTGACGCACAATAGCGTAAGTAGTGTGCTACCAACTCAACGGCCAGCGTAAGTCCTACAGCGGGGCACTGTTTCTCATCAAACTGCGCTCCCAACGAACGCTAGTAACTCCAGGGCGGCCGCAGCTGCTGGGGCCTGCCATCCCCCTCCCCTCGTCAGACCCCGGCGCCCTACTCCGACCGGGCTGAGGTCGCACCGTGACGTCCTCTCCGGTGACGTCACCGTACTCTCCAAACATCTCCCGGACGGGTGCACCTCCCGCAGGCGAGCGCGCGCGTGGCTTCGTTGTCTCCTTCGTTTTCTCCGCCCACTTTCTCCTCGGTTAATTTTATGGGCGGCGTCGGCGGGTGGCGCTGGACCGCGCGCGGAACGTCGCTGACCAACGGCAGTCCACTGAAGCGCTCGCCTCTGGCAGGGTGGCTGCCCCGGCGTCCGGACACCTCTGCCCATCTCGGGAGCCGAGCCATGTGGCCGAAGTAGCCGCACGTGTGACGCATGGGACAGTTGCGAGCGATGTGGCCGGCCCTCTTGCACCTGTGGCACGAGTGCTCGCCGGCGGCCGGGTGTTCCGGACAGTCGCGGCTGACGCGCTCAGTCGACGCGCGCGTGTAGCACATGCGCCTCTTCTCCTCGCCGCTGGCCTCGTGCAGTCCGAGGAGATGTGCCCGCTCTTGCCGCACACGTAGCACATACTACCGTCGATCTCGCATTCGCGGCTGATGTGGCCCTTCTTGCCGCGGGTGTAGCAGGTCGCGTCGGTGTCGGGACAGTCGCGCGCCGGGTGGCCGGTGCCGTTGCAGTTGTGGCAGAGGGCCTCGCGGCCGCGCCGCTCCACCTGCGGGTTGGGACAGTCGCGCGCGATGTGGCCCGGCTGGTCGCAGCGGCAGCGCACGTCCTCGCCGGCCGTGCAGTCGCGCGCCCTGTGGCCCATCCAACTGCACCCGCAGCACTTCTCTCTGAAGACGGAGCGTCCGCCTCTGCCGCGGCCACGGTCTCCCGCTGGCCACATGGCGCGAGCGGGCCATGTAAGATACCTGGCGATAGTTGTAGCACTGGGTCGTGATCGGCGACGAAGCCTGGAATGGCCTTGTTGAGTTAGTCTTGGCCTCCCTTTCTCTGTGGGGTATGCACGAGCTGTGTGGCCAACCTCGCGACAGTTGTAACACTCCACGGTGCTCAGGGTGTTTGACAGAAGATATTGTGCTAAATATGTTGGTACAGTATTTGGTGGTGCCGTTAAGTTGTCCTTTAATACAAAACAAGAAACCTTAGATGACAGCTCAAGCAAGCAAGCCACAACGGTTTCCACATTGGAAATCATGGTGCGAACCATGCCATGTCCCGCTACGCTGTCTTTCCGAACGAGGCATATACCATCGCTCAGAGTCCTCTTAGCGATGGTGGTATTTGTCTCCTTCGCCTGTCATGTCAGAGCCATCTTGAAGCGATGGGCTTCTCTTTGATCACATTTAGCGGCGAGCCTAGCCCACTCCCATGCGCCAGCAATTTTGATTTGTTGTGGCAGTAAAATAGCATCTCACGGCGTCGAGATGTGCAAGAACAAACCGCCATGCAACTCACGAACGTGGTGTAGAGGGTGCCGACGACTGCCGTGCCGATGATGCTGGCCTCCAGGGACAGAGTGGTGGTGAAGCTGAGAGCGAGGCTGGGAGCGTAGAGTGCGATGGCCATGTAGAGGGACGTCCGGACGAGGTAGATCAGCACGCACAGGGCTCGCAGGAGATTATTTTCAAACCTGGACAGAGTTGGAGGTTACGAGATGGTTTGTATTGTCAGATTGTACATGCTACCGGTGCGTACCTGTACATAGCTGGAGGTTGCGAGATGATTTGTGCGGTCAGATTATTTTCAATATGGACAAGGCTAGACGTGATGAGATGGTTCATGCGGTCCAACCATGGCAACCTCTCAGCGACTTGCTTCATGCAGAACTTTATGGAAATACAAAACGTGCGGGTGCATCAAAGAACCCATAAAGCAGATTGAGACATCCCAAGATGAGCAGCTTGTGTAGGTATATGCTGGCATAAAATGGACGAGATAACGTCTTGCCTTTCAGCAATTACATCACGTGCCGGATGAGCACGAAAACGAAAGAAACAACATACGTATCTGCGGATACAAAATGCACAGAGCATTGCGTTCAGTCTTGGGGTTAGACTCGGAATCAGGTGCTGGATATCTTCGAAAGCAAGCCTGGCATAGGAACAGAAAACTCAGTGTCCAGCCTGGAGCAAGGCCAAAACCTTGCCTTTCAGATAAGCTTTCAGCCAGGATTGCCACCGACCTGAGCTAAAGGTAATCATCTACCACTGCAACTGCCATGAACTCGATACACCTTAATCCGGTATTGGCATCTACGCGGCATAAGGTCGCTTAAGCGGAGCCTAGCAAAGCTGATCAACGTGACACATATATGTAAAATATCCAACGCTCTAACTAGTGGTGAGCTGACCTGGCCGACACGGCGGTCGCCACTGACCTGAACTCAAGGTACTCGTAGACGGTGGTGATGCCGCAGCGGTAGAAAATAGGCACGAAGAGGATGGCCACGGCCGGCAGGAGGGCGGCGTAGGCCAGCACGCTGATCCAGTACTGCACGCCGTTCACGTACATCTCCGCCGGCGAGCCTGCCCAAGCGCGGCGCAGCTCGGTTAGTACGACATCGTGCCTGCGCGTGAGCGGACGCCAAGAGGCCAGCATGGCATCGAACGGGCGGGTTCTTTTTCCTGCTGTCCGCTGGGCACTTTATGAACACCCCAGTCATTGGCACCCCAAGAAAAGCCTGTGTAACAACGCACGTCGAATGCCCCCAAAATCTAGTGGTGGCTCGTGCCGGCTGACGGCGCCACCCGCGTCCAATGGCACCGGCGAGGCAGAACGCTGTTTGGCGGTGCTGCGCCCATGTTACCTACGGCCGGGGATGGTCTCATGAGAAGCGGTGGCGAGCCGTGTTTATCAGACAGCTGGAGAGCTCGCAGAGTGTTTCCACGAAGCGTACCGAAACGATAGCCGGAGAGCTCGCACAATTTTTTGAGCGAACGGGATGATAGATGGGAAAATCATCCCGTCGTTCCAGACCCAGTCCTGATGCAGCTGCCTGTAGTGCCGTGAAATCTATATGGGCGAGTCTTTGGCAAGTATGGTTTACGGAGCACGCTGGAAGCAAGCGACATTTAAGTGGTATAGGTTGTGTTATATTATGTTATATATTTTTCATATTTTATAATTAGTAGGACGTATCTTACATTAAATTTGTATCTACGGTATGTGATATGTAATATTCTTTGGGTATACGTATACAGGTATATGTACACATATACATACGAAAATCTCTCTCTCTCCCACTTTCTCGCTCTCTCTATTATGTATCATATGCCTATATGACGTTATCCTATATAGTATACATCTGAGTCCTTTCTTAACGCCCACTTACCTGCACCACGACATTTATGCGTCTCGTTCTCGGCCCTGCCTTACCCAGAATGAGGATGGCTGACAGAAAGCTGACCATGATGGAGACGGCCACCGGCACGATGGACATCTTCCTGCCACCGAGCAGCAGCTCTTCGTTCGTATGTTTGCCGCGGATGGCATGGTAGACGCCGATGAGCAGTGATAAAAGGAGAACACCTCCGAACACACAGTAGTCGACGATGCTGAAGGTCTGGCGGGTCGTCATGCTGTCCGCCGGGTCTGAAACGGCGTAAGTTCATTGTTCCGCGTAGAAAGATTGGTACAGATATGGTTTGGTTCCACGTGACTGAAGTGCTGTCAGAGTGACTGGGAACCCCATACATGTCACTGGCTTCGGAATGGCTGGATGTAGCACGAAATTGAAATCACCATATCTATCACACTTTCTGTTGGTGCCCAACAGAATGTTGTGCTCCAGCGTAATGAGGTGTCGCACGCACAGAAGTCTTAAGTAAATTATGTCGTAGTGTTCGGCGTGATCAGATATGATGAGAACCCATCACTGAACCGTCTTGCTTTTGGTGATTATAACTATTACACAACATTACGATGTAATTGCAGTAAATGTTTAGTGAAAGACAGTAATATATAAACACAACTCACGCTTCAATTTTATAAGAATGTGCGTAGCTGGGGTGTGGTTCAGGGCAGTTTTAGGTCCGTTCAGTGCTCTCATTGCCTGGAAGAGCCAATGCTGCATATGTTTGTAATCGTGACATGTTTTCTAAATCTATCCTAGTTGCCTATTCCTCTCCAGCCACTGTGGCGTTGCTCTCCTACCCTGCAATAAATGAATGGAAATGGAAGTTGAGAATTACAAGCTTGGCGAGGAATATATATCTGTAGAGTTATATTCAACGATGAATAATCTATTGCGCGTGTTTTCTAAGGTGAAAGCTGGCTTTTGTGGTTCAGTTATTCAGTGTAGCTCATGGTAAACCATGTGGATTCTCCTTATACCAAAAACATTTCTACCAACGCTTTTGGGAGCATAGTCACATAGGCCATAGGTCTGTCAGGTGTCTTAGGTCTTTCAGATCATTCAGAGAAGCCTTTCACATCTTAACATTTCAGGAGAACTGCGCATTACTAGCTCGCCGTCACCGCCCTTATCGTTATCATGTCAACCGTCCTGCCTTCAAGTGCGACTGCTTCCCAAGCAGGGTTGTAGTTTTCCATTCACCCCCAATAGTGGTGCGAGCCCCGACTTGGGGAGGGAATTCCACCATTTGCCGAATTTACTATTTTGCAAGTACGCCACTTTTCCCAAGACCTGAGAAACAGGCGCCCATGATGGCAGACTCTCCTCAGCGGCGGAAGAATACGGGGGGGGGGGGGGGAGCAGAGGACGGGCTACGGACATTCTTCAGAGTTGATGGTCATCGGTTATGTTGATATTACGCAGTCCGCACATGGACCGACAACAGGTGGCCGGTGCATTTTCTGTTCGGGCACCGTGGCGGACGCAGCGTCTTATTCGCAGCGCGTTTACAGCTTTCTGCAGACCTGTGTACGACGCTCGAGTCGGGTTCATGCATGACAAGCCAACACATCCTCTTCCCCAACTTTTGACCGAAACATCGATTGAGGACCAGGATTTCAGCGCCAGAAAAAATGGATCGTACCTGCGTCGTGGTGGCGGTACGTTTACGCCGGTCCGACTCCGTTTAAATACCGCGCGGACGCCTCTACTAGAGGAACCGGCGGCTCCCCAATGCTCGCCGTCCGATGGTAGCTTAGACAGCGCCACCGGCGGGACAGCCGAGGGGGGGGGGGAGGACACTGGACTGCAGGCAGCAGCAATGTCACCGTGCCATCGCAGCTGTGCCGGCTCCGAGGCAGCTCTGCCGGCCCAGCGCAGCACTAGCCACCAGCATCACAACTGAGGCACCTGGCACGGTGCCTGGTCCTGCCTCTGACTGTGCTGGGGACGGCCGGCTTTGGATATATATATATATATATATATATATATATATATATACATAATATATATGTGTGTGTATGCGTGTGTGTGTGTGTGTGTGCGTATGCGTGTGCGTGTGCCTGTGTGTTAATAGTTGCTTTAAGTTGGAAGGAGAGGGGCCTGAGCAGGGGAAATGGCTAAACCTTCCCTAACAAACTCCCAAAATAGTGACACCCACGACTAAGCTCGACCTCAAAGGTAAAAAATTGGTCCAAACTAAAGATTGGTACAATTGAGTAGCTAAGGCGATATCACTGTGCATCAATTTTCCGGGTTTTCCTGCATTGTTTTTCCCCAATCACTCCACCGTGTTCAGTACGGGTACCGCCCGTAGTGGGACGGCATGTCACGCACTCCAGTGAACATCCCAGCTATGATGGTGTATCACCACGTGGGGTTCGTTCGGTTGACCCAGACCCAATAACTTAGAAATTGCTGCCATCGTAAGAAGGCAAGGAACAGAGTGGTGCTGTTGTAATTACTTTGATTTTCAAATGTGAAGTCTTACTCTCGATATGGGCCGTTTATCGTCATTAGTGTGGCTTGGAAGGTCACCTAGTGTTCTCAGAGTAAATAAATGTAGATAGATTAGACTCCGAGAAGTCGATAGTCGATGCTCAGTCGGGCTTACTTTGAAAGTAGGCGGGGGGGGGGGGGGGGGGGTCTGTGCTGGGATGCGTACGCTGCGCCGCTGCCGGGCCGCGGCTGGATGTTTGTGCGCCGCTGGCTGCCGCTGCCATGCCTCTCCACAAGAGCGAGGTCAGGTCCGGTCAGACACCACGAACGGCTGTCCCCCCGTCCATGGCTGTGTGCCCTTAACCACGGTACCCCACCTGCACCTTTAAGCTGATGATAATATTTCGACGGGGCAAAAACGGAACCAGATGCATTGATAATACTCTAAGCTTGGCAAAGATCTCACACAACTGGTGAATTACATTGGCAAGGGCCCGCCAGATAACAACCCTGGGAGTCCCTCGGCCTTAACCAATACCCACGGACTTCATGCGTCCACCACACTCACCAACACACTCGCTCCAAGCATACACATCGGCTGGCGCCCACGTCATCCCATTCATTCTTGGTTTGCACACGGGTGGTACCCTTTACCCTTTCCAGCGCGTTGTTATTATGATTGACCCGTTTGCGAAAGTCCTCGTTGAGCTAAGTTACATTCATTTAACGCATTTTAAACACTTAGTGAAACCACGTGAGTGCCCTATTTAAAACATACCAAGCTAGTTTATCACCTTGGCTCCGATGCAGCTACTGGGCAGGCACCATATGTCTGAAGCTAGACGATGATTCGCTGCCCCACCTGACTTCCAGAGTGACGTCTCTCTATTCGGACAACGCTCCCTGCGTCTCGTCCACGGTAGGGCGGCACACCATTCCTTCGGCCACGCCGACCGCTCGCAGCTTTCCACTGCCTCGCACGCGCCTTAGGCAGCGTCTCGTCCAGCACTTAGGCGTCGCCTCAGGCGCTTCTGCGGAGTGCGAAGCTGCCGGAGTGAGCTTTGCAAGGCACCCCCCCCCCCCCCCCCCACGGCGTGTCGTACTCGCCGCACCAAGCCTCCCGTGTCCGTAGCAAATCCCCACAGGACGAGAGGGGCTCTTGCCAACCGAGCATGAACACCATGCACAGACCAGTCAGTGAATAGAGCCGGGTCAAACAATACAAAAGAAAAAAAAACACGGAAAAGGAAGTGCACTAGTGCTCGTTTAAGGAACCTGTACGTATGCGCTGGATGGGTTTCCGCGAGGGTCCGGTCGCCCTGAGCTATTGGGAGAAATTAAAAGAACCAGAAGTCGTAAACCGTCCAACTTGAAAACAGACCAACACCATATCCAAAGAGCACCCTCAGGAGCATGTAGGCGTGGCGCGTACGCCGCGCCAGGCCACCATGCGGGACCGGCGAAGGCCAGGACGAGTCGCTGTGCCTCCGCGTAGCCGCCTCCAACGGCAAAATCGAGATAGCCTCGGAGCAGGCTGACAAGTGAGCCGCCCCGCCGAAGCGCGCGTCAACGTCCTCGGACCCAGTGCGATCCCACGCTGGGCGATAGTGCCCTATCGCCGCCTGGCTAAGTCACCTACAGCCTCACTTTCGTACTAAAGCTTTAAAACGCAGTCCGCCACCTGTGTTTACAAAAATCACTCACACATTGACGTGCCAGTTCGTCGCTTCACGCTGGCCCAGCGCCAAACCGCGTGACACATCTCCCCCCCCCCCTTCAATAATGGGAGAACGCCCCAGACAGTTCCGAGCTGGGAGGGTCGCACGGCTAGTGCCGCCCCCCCCCCCCCCTTCCCAACTACACGGGAGGAAACAGGTATCCGTAGCGCGCGCCTGCCCGGTGGGGAGGGATCAAGCCGTCCGAAGTCCGGTAAGTATGGGTGTGGGGGGGGGGGGGGGGCAACAGCCTGCGGACTCGCACGTGCATGTTGTCGCCGGTGTTCGTCCGCGGGGCCAGATGCCGTCGCCAGTTGATGAGCGGTGGGGCCATCTCGTCCTGCCGAGGCACGGCTATAGGCACCTAATGCACTCTTCGGAACCCTTTGTTCCATGCTTTATCGATTCTTGATTGTCCCTAACTAAGTCGGCCCGCACTCGGATCCGCCCGTAATCCGCCCGTAATCGCAGTTGGAGAGCAGAGGGAGATGACTGTAGCCCCATTCACAACGCACAGCTTATTTAAGCTACCTTACCTAGCCTTTGGTTGGTAACTTGTTTGGTGTATTTGTTAGCTCTTACTGGATTTTACGCATGATGAAGTTAATTGATTACAGTAAAGGAACTTTCAGATAAGTTGAAACAACATGTAGCTCACGACCAAAAAACTGAAGTAATTTATTTTCCACAACTTTCATCTCGAGGGGTTTCAATTGTGATATTGCAGCCAACTATGAAATATGCTAATAATGCTAGGCAGCGGCCATGATTTGTTGTCAACGCTAAGGGCGCGGATTTGCTCGCGTAGAGTGAACCATGGTTATGACTTTGTGCTTATTTTGACGGATAGAGCTTCATTTTATGTAACAAGTACTGTACTAATACACCAATATATTACGTTCTTCACATCAAATGCTGTCGTGATTGTGCTCACTGCTGGGTTCTTACGTCCCGGGCTATTACCCAATAATATTTTATCTCTAAACCAGCTGTTGTCGCGGTGTCGAGATCGGAGTGGGTGGGCACGCTGCTTCCGAGGGGGATGTGAGGTGTGTAGGGGGAGGTTCGGTGATGCTGGACGTGTGTGTGGAGTTCGAATTCCCACTTGCAAAAATTGTTTCCGTGCGGTATGTCTAAGGTACGAAGTGGATGCTTAAAAGGTGTAAGTAAGCGCCAGGTAAACTGTGGGGGTTCCCCGGCGCTCCATACATGGTCCCAGTAGCAAATCCTAGAAAACTGCAAGTCCCCTGTTAAGCTGATGTTTCAGAAATGTCCTAATTTCAACAAAAGCTTCGCCTTTGAACACCACCTAACTGCTATTTGGGCACCAATGAAGGTGCATACTACATAAAAAGCCTACCACCATCCTCTGTTTATGTGATCGACAGTCTGACAGCAATATCAGCACAGCAGGCAACTAATTGAGGTAAGTAATGCACTGATTAGTTCAAAATTATCTTCAACACGCGCCCGGGTGGCCGTTTGTATACCCTTCGTTCGGGTGCGGGGGGCCAAGTTGACCCCCCTGTGATATCAGGAACTAAGAGAGCTGGAGACACCAAATTCACAGAGTGTATTGACCTGTACGTTAACGCACTTAGGTCAAAGTTTGAGGCTCCTAGGTCATGACCTTCAGGTCAAGTATGGTCAAACAAGGTGAAATTGCAGTTTGGTTTCCAAAGGGCCCCTGGAACCTGGATAACTGCACTAAACAAAAAGTCACATGCTCATCTAAGGTCAGTGACCTTATTTTACCTTTTGAAGGTCATGGTGACAAAAATCATACAAGACCACTTTGAGTTTTGTAGTTGGATAAGCGGCAAAGACTAGGTAGGCAGCATTTTCCTAAAAACAAAATGTTGACCAGGGTCATTTTAGGTCGGTGACCTATTCTGTTATAAATAAACTCGAAATGAGCAGCAGAAACTACCCCATACGGAAAGTCCCAGGGTAACAAAACATGCTGCATTTGCCCCCAGTCTGGCCTTCATACCTGACCTTAGATCAATGCATTTTGTTCATTTAATTGTTGTGTTGCCTTTTACCAGAAATTTCGCTCGCTGAAACCATTGCCCGACTGACCTGCTATAGGTCAGCGATCTTACAAGGTGCATCTAAATGTATGATGCCAGACGATCCGCTATTCAATTGCCTACAGTTATGCAAAATTTGGCGCGGCTGCGCTGCGCCATTCGAAAACCATTCCCGAAAACCCTTGAGGGGGGGGGGGGGCAATTTGAGCCCCACCCGAGCGCATGTTAAATTACGTACCACACAATCACTTGCAATCACGTTGCAAACCAAATCATGCCCACAACGCAGACAAACATTGATCCTCTTGTTTCATAGCCACTGCTTTCGCCAGCTTTCGTAACAAGATACCGTAATATACACGCAAACTTTTCTCCGTTTCATCCGAAGTCGATCGCATTCTTGGATCTACCCTTTCATTTTCCTCAGAGATCGATCGAAAACGTGACCCGCCTAGGTAGCTTACGATCTGGCCGCTATCGGACGATGGTGGCCAGCGCAGACGCGCTGGGGCGGAAGTAGGCCCAGGCTGGATGGGAGAGTGGAATTGAGGGGAGTTTTAGGCAACACATTTTGCTGGACAACTACTACGGAAGAACATCTGAACATTTTAGTTTGACGATAAGGAAAAACATTTTGTGAAACGAATTTTATCGCATTACTCCACTTGCCAGTAATGCGAACCTGGAATCGCCCATGAAAGTCACCTAGGTAGCTGACACGGGTTGTGTGTTGTGAACAGGGCTTATGTCTCCCCACTTTTCATGAGCGCAAACAACAGAGGGCCCCGACTGTTTGTGGAAATCGGTGAGTTTGGAAGGGTGCAAGCCCCGTTCTTGTCTGCGGGATGCCTTCGCCGTCGCTTGCTTGCGCTGATATGCGTCGACCCATATTCGATAAGGCCCTGCGCTGATGCTCCGGTACCGCTTTTGGCCTGACCCTGACCTGTTTATGTTAACTTTAATCCGATTTGCTCCACAGAAGTGATGGCCAGCGAGGCACCTTGACCAGGGAAAGTGGAAAAACACCTGGCCGTGGTCGATAGCATTAAGACTTGCCAGACTGCATATGTTCCACGGCTTCTGAGCGCGCTGTCACCCGTTCACCGGGGATAGGTGTCGTCCCCATCCGTCGGCCGATGTTCCTTCGATCGGTGCCGCCTCGATGACACAATCTTTTGGCTTTCGAGAGCTCTATTACACAAATTCCCGATCTCCCGTGGCGCCCCGGCGCGCTGAACGGATAGCATCTTGGCTTACGGCGGGAGGCCGGCGGCCTGACGTTACAGCTGTCCGGTCCAGCGGCGGGCCATGGGACCGGTTCTAACCGGGTCAGGCCGACGGCGGCGCCGTACGACGCGACCGCCGGTCGCACGCGCCGGTCCTCAGCTGTCGTCAGTGAGGCCCTCCTCTGCAGACGCGGCCACCGGCGTTACCCACAGCCGGGGAGGGAGCTGATGTGGGGCCGAGATGTGAGTTTCGTGCTCGGCTGGTGGTGTAGCAACGAATGTAACCGAGTATGGGCGCAGGCATGGGAGCGAGGCTGCGGGAACATGCCCCTCTCCAATGTTGCGTGCGTTGTTCAAGCAAAGGGGCTTGCGAAAATTGATTCCCACGTGTCAAAACCCAGTCTGATGATCACGCCTGGTCTCTTGACATCCAAACGAGCAAGAAATATCAGGAGACGTGTAGTCATCTCCTCGGTTCCTACAACGACAGACCGGCGTAGCACGAGAAAAACACCAGCGAGAGGTCAGTGATCTCGTGACTCCACTCATCTTGCGCAGTTGTGAAGGGAAGGAGAAGCGTGCGCGGCATAATAAGCTGCAAAACCTGTCCTTGACCCTCGGGCAGTAGCACTGTGCAAACGGGATGTGGACCGCAAGCGGCCAAACTGTGGACCGTGAGCGGCCAAGCTGCGGACCGTTGGCGGCCAAACTGTGGACCGCGAGCGGCCAAGCTGTGGACCGTGAACGACCAAACTGTAGACCGCGAGTGGCCAAACTGTGGACCGTGAGCGACCAAACTGTGGACCGCGGGCGGCCAGTCTGCGGACCGCGAGCGACCAAACTGTGGACCGCGAGCGGCCAAACCGTGGAACGTGGGCGGCGAGAATGTGGATCGCGGGCTGCTAGAATGTGGACCGCGGGCGAGAACGTGGACCGCGAGCAACTAGAAGGTGGACCTTGGTCGAGGATGTGGACCGCAGGCGGCAGCCCTGTGGACGGCGGCGGCTACAACGTAAACCACAAGCGGCTCCTCTGTGGACCGCGGGCAAGAATGCAGACAGCGGGCTAGAATCTGGGCTGCTAGTCAAAGAGTGAGATGATGTCCTCACAATTGAGGGCCTGGATGGAAACCAAAATCCTTTTAAACATGTCTCACGCCACATCGTCGGTGGTGGCGTGGCTAGCTGAGAACTGCCTGGCTGGGGTTTCTAGCCCGACCGCCATTGCCCACCTGAAGCTGAGCGCCGGCCGCTGCACAACGCCTTCCCTTTCACCGTCTGCCCCTCTCACTTGGCAGCGCCAGGTCACTGGGGGCTCTGTCTTCCGCCTGCCCCTCCTCACATGACAATGTCAAGTGACCTGCAGTTCTTCCCCTTCGTCAGCTTGCCTCACCTGGCACTGCCGAGCCTCCTGGAGTTCCTCTCGGCTGTATCCACGTCACCACTCGCTGGCGGTCAGTTCTCAGTCTGCCCTCGCCGCCGTCTCCTCAGGGTGCAGCTCACGCCCTCCACGGTCGCACCCAGTTACAGAACTGTGCGTCCGGCGCGCCACCGCTGACCACGGTTTCACGCGCGGCCTGCGGGTGGCCCGTGCACGGCTGGCGTGGGTCCAGGACTGGCGGTATTCGCGTGAGGTTTGCACGGCGTCATGGACGTCTGGGTAGTCTTAAGATTGTCCGCACGAAAGAGTCTAGACAGGTTCGCGCGCATCAAGTTCAGAAAAAGAGGGGTTTATCCATTAAAGAGAGTGCTCCATATTTGTATGGGGTTTTTGAGCTGAAATAGCTATCTTGAAGACCTTTGGGTACTGTTTACAGTTCTGCCTTTCTTAAGACATTAGCCCCTCCAGGTTCTCAGCTACACGCCGGTGCAAATTGGGAAAGGCATATCGGGGGTATTTAAGTCACCCTGGCATTCATGACGTCATAATAACATCGTTGAAATACTGCCGTTCCGTACGTCATGCGGTGATCAAGACCCATAAAAATAATATGGTCGAGGTGGTCATACCTGGCGTTTGTAAACGCGACTTCCAGATAAAACGGCCCTCGATTGGGTCTCAATGCCGAAACGCCGAAATGGGCCCTCTTAACATTGGGTAATTGGCTGCTAGAGACCCGAATGGGTCCTTAAGAAGTCATAATGGAGTTAAACTGCCGACAGTAGTAATATATCTTCTGCAGGTCATAATGGGCCATCCATAGGCCAGAATATACCCTCTTAAAGGGAATGTTCCACATTTAAAGATATTGAGTTAGGGATCAGATATCATGGGAAATGCTTCTTTGTAACTATCGGTAAGCTTTCAATGTTCAAAAACGACGCTAAGTAGCAAAATTTCGAAGTTCGTAACAATGGGCCCCATTACGTCATTGTTTGATGGCGTCATGAAATGGGCTTGTGACGACGGCAAAACCTGGCAGCATTTGGCAGCCAGACCTAAAGAATACCTCGAAGTACACGAAAGCTGACGCCAACCGGCCATTCTCGTCGCGGGGATGTGTCTGTGTGTGTGTGGGTGGGGTGGCGGGGGCGGATGGGTGGGTGAGTTATTTGTGAATTTTTATTTTGGTGCTGGCCGTATAAAAGTTTTTGCGGACTGTTTGACATGCGCAACGTAGCGATCGCCAGCTTTTATGACCGATTATTAATATCAAAGCACGATGTGCCGTGCTGCTGCCGTTGCTGCTTTCCTGTTGATGATTTTGTCAATACTTTATTGTGGACCCATCGTTGTGCGCAGTGCTGTAGTCCTCATATTGATATCATGTGATGGGTACAGTAGGCACTGCCCTTATTGTTTGTAGCTGGAAATGGGTGTCATGCGAAAATTAATACATTGGTAACGTTGCCATGCATTGATTATCAAAGCATCGCTGTTGCTGTAGTAAAGATGGTAAGGTTGGGCTACCAAGAATGTTTTTTGTTTGTTTAGGATTGTTCATGCAATAGTTAACCCTGATATAATCATTGTAGTGCAATGACATTCTTGCAGTAGACAGTCCTTTGGTATTGTCAAATAAATTTTTACCAGCCATTCATAAATTATAAGCTGCTATCTCATGGGCTTGACAGAGAGCACTCACCCAATGTGGTACATTGTGTAATGGCACTGGTCAATAACCTCGTTTTGGCACTATCTCGGTGCTGTTCTGTGGCATGGCATAATGAAGAACAATATGGTTCTTCTACTGCAATCCATGCCGCTTTCATAATAAATTCCAGCATGAAAAGATGGGTCATGCATGCAATCTTGAATTGACTTTCCATCTGACGTACGACTGGCCAAAAACTCATACAATATGCAAATCACTTTCAGCAAAGCAGACAACCAAAAAGTGGCATCACTTGCTCAGCCTACTTCGGCAATCCAGAAAACGCAGGTGAGAAAGATGCAAACACAGCTTTCACTTCCATGGTCATGCAACATACTGCAGCCATCAGGCTGCTTTACTAAAGAATAAGAGAACATTTTTACATGTGGTGAAATGACACTGCAAACATACTGACCATGCACAAGGCTGGAGACATGACAAGTGCATGTAGTTATGGTTGGATGGACAAACTGCAAGGAAGTGATGAAGCTGCCAGTGTACACCAGGCTCATGATGAACATTTTATTAAGTGCTGTCCAACAATATACTGCTCCAACCAACCAACCAACAGCAATACTGCTCCACCTTTCTCAGCACACAGCATCCCACGCAAGTTGTAGTGGCTATGACATTGATTACTCAGGACCAATGCTCGCCTGCATACAATATTTGTAAAGACAGTGCAATGTGCATCAGTAACAGTAAAGCTCTATATTTTCAGAATTCTTTAAGGAAAGACAATTTTGCAAAGTGATATGTGAGCCTGTACTGAGCATGTCCATTAATGAGCTGCACACACCAGTCCCTACTGCCAAAATGAATTGCTGATATGACATGCAGTGGATTAATTACATGCTGTAATACCTCAATAGGTTCACAATATTGGCAAGATCATAATGAAGTACCAGTACCAGTACTTGCCTCTGTACACCCTTGCAATATAAGTACTAGCGTTTCTCTCAGTTCGCCAGCACTCCTTTGTCATGTTCAAACACAAACATAAAGGTAGAGGCAGGCATCAATATCAATAGGCATCCGTATATCAGGCATCAATATATCACATCGTGTCAGGAGTCAGCAGACTAAAGAATACCGAAACAATGTCCTCTCTCAGAAGAACAAACCTCGCACGCACACTCCCCATCACATCAATACCAATGCAAGCCACTGGCACACACCACCAGTGATCACACGCACCGGGGCCCCCGATTCACACTCTTGTCAAATAAGTGTGATCTCATATTTGCACAGCTCCAGGGACTATCAAACTGCAGGTTTTCTCACAATTTCCGCACAGATCTTCAGTCACAACACCGGACTTCACCGTCACCCCCTTCAAAACAAAATCCCAACGGGGTTCATGGTAACGGGGCTCAAGAGGTTCTTCTTGTAAAGCACAATTTTGTGTTCAGTATTTAAATTTGTCGTACCCTATGTGTGAAATACTTAGATAAATAGATGTCTTAAATGACTGTAATGTTTCCCCAATTCAATAATGCCTTGCTAACCCATAATCCCGTGCAAGGTTCTGTGCTCCGGTACACAAGGCGCCAACCGAGCTGTCTGTAAGAGATACGTTAGTAGAAGAAAAAAGGCTAGCAGGAGAAAAAGACAGATTTGCCGTCGCGTCTTTTTTATAACTTTGGGAGAATACCCATTTTTGGGGGTGCCGTACCTTTTTTGCAGACAATGGCGTTCTTTTTTTATAACATTGGCCTGTGGCTTAGAAATAAGGAAAATGACCCGTTCACGACGAGTGTCGCGCAACCCAAAATTGCTCACGCTTGTGTTCGCGACACGCATTCAGCAGCAAAATTTTACTGACAGCCAATCATCTTCCGCAGACTGTACCGCATGTACAGCATCATCGCCTTTGTGAATGTATCAGCAGCCATGCTGTTTTGACCATAAACAAAAAAAAAGCTTGTAATATCACGGGGATCTAATGACATTTCTATGGCGTCATTAAGCAGAAGGCGATTTTGAAGTTGACTGTAAATAAGCCTTTTTGTACTTTGCGAGCGTGTAACTCAGGAACCAGAGCGTTTTGGGCCCTAAAAAAGACATATCCGTGAACTGCATCAAAGTGTCCTCAAGATGGCTATTGCAGTTCAAAACGCCATGCAAATGTGGAACATTCCCTTTAAGGCCAGAATGACCGCTCTAAGGGCCAGAATGGACCCGCCGCAGTTAATAATGGGCCATCTACAGATCAGAATGTGCCGGGAGTGATCAAAACCTGTGGTTTGTCACAACCTTCGCTGACATTTGAAAGACATTCAATATTCATGGGCAGGCTAAGGAAGTCGAGTTTGAATCTGCTGCGTAAATAGCTACCACTCCGGTCATTTCCTGTTTAAAATGCATATTTTATGATATTCAAAAGGGTAGAAGTTTTAACATGACAGCTATGGAAAGGAAAGCAACATTTGCAAAATAGCTAAACAACGTCTGGTTCATGCAGATCACCTTTGTTTATGCACGAATAAAATGTTCCAGCATGATTTCATCATTGCCAAGTACAGCCACACAATGTTCATATTCTAACACCACAAACAATGGGGCATAAATAAAAGACCTGTTCACAGCATCCCTTTTCTAAACAGCATGCACAGATCACACTATTGGTGACCTGTGGCATGTCGGCACAGGTATTTGTCCCAACATCTCTGCACAGCAACCCAGCCGTCCTGGCGTTTCTTTTCACTGTAAAGATATCAGCGCCCTCTTTCCATGCCTCTCCGTTAGGCGCCTGTCTCTGGCAATTTTATGACAGCTCCTGGAAGATAAAAGAACAACAAAAAGAATGCAACTTCCAGTGATGTAGTCCTTATCAACTCTCAAGGGAAGAACTAGCCTTTATGATACCTTTGGTGTAATTGGGCCCATACAGCAAATTATTGGGCCTGAATGTCAAGGCATGTGCTGGAATAGCTGCAAAAATCCATATCTGGTCACTTCCATGGAAATGATTTCTTTTTCATCACATAATGTCACTTGTGGGTACTTGTATACCGAAGAAAGATAATGCTATTTTTTGTTTTTCACAATTTGATGTGACATGGGATCCAGTCCCAAGGACCATAATATCTGATTAAATAGGATTGCATTCCAGCCCGATCCATATATATTTGCAGCAGTGTGAGATTTGCTAGCTGTCATTAATGTAATGCTGGTATTTTACGCCTCGAAATGCTTTCAAACAAGGAAAACTATGGTCTTGTTTTCGCACTGCATGGAACTAAAAGCAAGACCTATTTAATCGTAGCTATCGTGCTACCAATAGTCGAAATCCTGTTCTATGATTGGTCGGGTGGCCATGATGAACTTGTGA